GCAGTGAGCTGAGATCACACCATTGGACTACAGTCTGACTGACAGAGTGACATTGTCTCAAAAAAAAAAAAGCACAAAGAGAAAATTGACAATGAGTCTCCAGGAGACCAAATAGAAAGTGCCCACTTTGGTCCTGACATCCTTCCCAGTTTCTAGTCCCTTCCAATGAAGTCTTCTTTTGTTTAAGCTAGCCTGAGTGGGTTTCTGATCCTTTTCATTAAACAATCCCTAAAACAAGCATCTCTCACTTTTAAAACACAATGATCAAATACATAGGTTAAATTACAAACATTTAATAATAATGCAACTATGAAATACTGAATAATGTCAAGTAAAGATATAAAAGAAAATTGTACCTCACATGCGACCATTTATGTAAAAATAATAAAACAGATATATAACAAATTCATCAACTATCTCTAGAAGGTTATAGACTAATCGATGACATCAATTCCGTGGAGGTCTACTGGGTAGCCAGGGGGACTGGAATGAGAGGGAAGCTTTTCAATAGACATTCTTCTGAATTCTAAACCATGAAATCATATTACATATAAAAAAAAAATTTAATTAAATGAATCTGAACGGCATGAAAACAAGTAGTATAGGGAGCCCCACTCACAAGGTTCTCACTCGCTCGGAGCAGGTTATTTCAGTGTCCTTGTCTGTTCTTCTGACCCCAGCAGTGTTCACACACCAGCAAGTGGAGGTGCCATTGCACTGCTTGGCCTTAAAGAGCCCGCTCTCATCACAGTCGGGGTCATAAAGCCCATCATTGTTCTGGAGAGCCCCTTCAGGTTTTGCTCTTCTCCCAAGTTTTGAGTTAGTAATTTCCGCCTTCATCACCAAACATTTGGAAGCCACTGAAAAAGAAACCTTAATGCCAAACTGAAAAATAACTGGTTTCATGATTACAGGGAAAAAAATATTTAACTCTAAAGCTCCAGGGCCAAAGATTCTTTGAAACTTACGTGTTCCCACACTTACTTTATAACATAATTCAGATTTGAGCCAATAAAACTCGTTCCAACGCAAGGCACATCAATTAAAAAAGTATTAAGTCAAAATAAAGCTTACAGGCAATAACGATATTTTACTCACACTTTGAGCAAATGATGGTATTTTGTGAACCAACTGAAGTACACTGGCATTGACCTTTGCTATTCATAACGCAGTTTACGGCCAGCTTGTAGTTTTCGCAGTGACATTCTAGAAAATTAAAA